AAAGACACAGGTGACCCCCCTTCCTTTCTTTCAATCCTCTTCAACGGGCTTCAGCCGAGGGTCCTTAGGGGAATGAGAAGAATTTGGCACCTGACTGACGCTTTTTCTCGCCCCCTCCCAGGGGGCAGCAATCCCCTGAGTCCTGAAAAGCCTCCTAGAACTCGCCGGCCAAAGGCTTAAGCCCTAAAGAGCCAAGAAGTGAAGAGCTTCCCAGAGAACCCACTACCCCTTAATTAAGGAACAGATACCTTAAATCAAAAAATTCAATAATATGATAAGGCCCCTATACAACTTAAGGCATATATTCCTTACAATTTAGGTGTAAATCGGGTTCTCTGGGTTCTCGATTCGACACAACCTGGCCTTCAGCTTCTCGTGCGGCTCCACTGCTGTCATCTTCAGCAGCAGCTCCACAGAAACTGTGTACATGGGGAAGTGCAGTGGAGCAACCTCTGAGCAGGCCCCGCACGACCCAAATGGGTTTGGATAATCGGGTTCATTTAGGGGGCTTTAGGGTTGAGGGTTTATTGGGCTCATAGGGGTTTTAGGGTTGAGGGTTTATTGGATTCATAGGGGTTTTGGGATTTATTGGGTTCATAGGGGGGTTTAGGGTTGAGGGTTTTTTGGGGTTTTTAAGGGGTTTCCAAGGGGGTTTATTGGGTTCATAGGGGTATTAAGGGGTTTGCAAGGGGGCTATGATGTCTGGCGGCGTCCGCGTCATGGGGCAGCGCTCTTGCATAGAGCTCCAGCGGTGACAAGGGCTTCGCCGCAATGCAGGACATGGGCGCAGACTTGGCCCCAAGATCAAACTCTTTATCTTGCCGTTGAGATTTTTGCGACTAGTGCAAAGACGGCCGTACCTATGGATTGAGAGCTATGTCTGGAGAATCGACTGTAATGGAAGGAGACAGGAAGCATTGCTCGAAAGCCAGGGCTGCAGTGGGGTGACGGATATTGTGCAGCACTTTACAGGCAAAGTCCAAAGCATTGCGGACTGTCACTGGCTCCCGGTCTCGGCTGCAAAACCTCGATGCTATGCGTCAGAACTGGAGTCAAAAGCAGTCAGCACGGTTTCTTTGCGCACCTGCACAGTGCGGGTCTTTGGTTGGAAAAGCGTCACGGCTGCCCCCTTCTCAAAGCTCGATCTTTGGAACCTCCGGGACAAGGAAGGCATCCGGGCAAGTTTGTCCCGGCAATTTGAGTCTTCTGGTCTGGTGAGGCTATTTCTGCGAGTGTTCTCCTGAGGCACCGTTGTACCTCCTCGGGTGCTTCAGCGCCAAGCTTTGAGTTCGGGCCTATCTCAATGGCATCCAGCCGCCGACTGGAAAGCCACGGCGGCCATGGCCAGCCATGTGATCATGCCCCTTTCACAAGAACCCATCTGAAGACTTGGGACCAGCCCTGTGCCAGCAAGCACAGCAGATGTCACTTTTGACAACTCTTGCTCACATGTCCTCACACCCTCCGGAATGCTGAATACAGGAAGTCAGCCCTCGTTGCCTTCAGCTTTCCAGGCAGCGGTCCGCCGTTTAGGACCCCATCGACGAAGCCATCCAACTCCTGTTGTGGCAAGGATAACCCGGAGGCTCCCTGTTTTACTATCAAAACTTTTATTACTTGAGACTTTTGTTACTTTTGTTGCTATTATTACTACTACTATTGTTATTATTGTCATTATTATTCTAATTATTATTATTGCTACTGCTACTATTATTTGAAGCCTCAGGTCTCAGGTCTCAGGACGACGAACTTCCCCGCCCGCTCCTCGAAGCGTAGCTCGCCCGTGTGAACCTGGCGGCCGAAGAGGACAGAGAACTGCTGGGTTTTAGGTCTTAGGGTTTTGGGGTTTTGGGTGTTTTGGGGTTTTAGGGCTTTGGGTTTTGGGGTTTAGGGTGTGTGCGTTTGCGTCTTCGGAGCGAGGTTGATCTCTTGATCTCCGATTTCCTTCATCTTTGGCTGCATGTACTGGGATTAGGTCATCCGCTGTGGGTGCTAGGTCGACACAGCAAGCCTTGAACCGAGATCGTTTTGATCGCAAAGCAACCTTGGCTTTCGGGGCTCTTTCAAGCACAACTGTCAACTGCTGATGAAGCGTGCTCTCAGATCCAGGCGAAGAAGTCACTCGCGTCAGATTCATGCAGATCAAACGCCTCGCGACACTTTACAGGAATTGATTCGGCTCTGCGATATGAGCGATCTGCACAAGAGCTGCACCAAGCACCGAAACAAAAAGCAGTAGCGTCGAGAGCTGCTGCGGGCCGGAGTCTTTTTGGAGGTGTTGGGGGGCTTTCGAGGCCTATGGCCCAGGAGCCTTCAAGCCACAAGCCCGCAGCCGGGTATCCAACTTCTCAACTTCAACCAAAATCTCAAGCCTTTGGTATCTGCGCGGCATGAGGGCCCCTTTTTAGGTCCCCAATATAGTACAGCACCCTTCTAAAAAGGAGCCCTAAAAAGGGAACCTATTCTAGAAAGCTACCCAGTTGCGCCTTTTTTTAGCTCAGCGCATCGAGGCTCGGGTTTTTTAAAGGCTGCAGCCCAGGCGCGTCCAGGAGGGAAGGGTTCAGCTCCACGTTGGCCCACATCATCTGTCAACGATATGGGGGTTTCCCTAAAAGAGGGGAGCCTAATATAGCATTCTATATAGTAGGATCCTTATTATAAGGACCCCAAGATAAGGTACCCTAATTTCATCTGTCAAGGGATGTCACAGGGGCTTACTTGGAGGTTCCAGGGTAGATATAAGTAGGGTTATAATAAGTCCCGTAATATGGGTTATAACTTTAGTTACCCTACTTTGTAACTCCACTTATAACCACCCATGAACCTCCAAGTACTTCCAGAAGTTGAAGTATGTTCATGAAGCAAGCTCGAAACCAACTCGAGACCACCATTCAGGGGTCAAGGGAGGCGAAGGAAACCATCATCCGAAGCAGAAGCTGCACATGCACGCTTAAACTCTCAACAGGTCTGCAGTTCACTAGCTGCTACCACGACTTGGAAGAGTTGGGGTTTTCGGCTCTCATCTGCAGTCTGGGGCTTCAGAAAAAGGAGCTACGAAAGGCCACCCCAAACGTCCTTTCTGCGAGGGAGAGGGTCTCAGCTAGAAGGCCCCCGGCCTCTAGTTTGGAGATCCCCTTCTTCAGCCTTTTTTATGGGAGGAAGTGGGGCAAAAGCACAGCTCAAAGGTCATGCTCTGAGCAGCTGGACAGGGAACGATGATTTGAGGAACTCTGCCTTTTTGCACTTTCCTTCTGCGTGGAATGTTTCGGGCAGCGAACCCGAAAGCCTTTACTCCTACGCCTCAAATCAATCCTTGTCCCCTTACACTGACAGGGACACGCGACTTAACGGGCTTTCAGCCGAGCCACAAGGAGGATAAAGGAGCTGAGGGCACGTAGAGTGTAGACAGGAATCCCTTAGGCGCGTTCATGAAGGGCAATCCCTCCAAAGCCAAACAAAATACCAACTAAAGCCTCAAGCACCCTAAACCCCTAAAGCAAACAGATTTATGAACACCCTCCAAATCTTTAGGAGCCCTACAACAGGAAACCCTAAAGCCTAAACCCCTAAACCCTAAACAACCCTAAACCCCTAAATGCAAACCACGGACCCGGAAGTGTGGGCCTTGATCGGATCTCTCCGGTACTTCTGTGCCAGCTGCCGGGTGGCCTCCTCTACGGCCGGATCTGCGCCGGCCTATGAGGGGTTTAGGGTTTTGTAAGGGACTTTAGGGTTTTAAGGGGCTTGAGGGTTTTGTAAGGGGCTTTAGGGTTTTAAGGGGCTTGAGGGTTTTGTAAGGGGCTTTAGGGCTTTGTAAGGGGCTTTAGGGCGATAAGGGGCTTAAGATGATTTAGGGGTTCGGGTCAACAGAGGGGGGATATCTCGGACTTCGGGTTTTCTTCGAATGTTTGGGACGCTTGGAGCTGTGATCGGTGTGGTCCGGCTTGTGGCTTTAAGAATTAAGCTTGAACCTTTTAAGGCATTATTGTGATTGGGCCTGGGCTACTGACCTATCTCGGAGTTCGCGTAGGCCTAAGTTTCAAGTTATGGTCATTCCGCCCCCCCCCCCCCCGGCCCTCCATGTTCATGCAGGCATGTGGACTGAAGGGCGGGAGGGGGGGGGGGGCGGGGCGCGCTGTGGCCTGATGCAGCACCGTTGGAAGAAAAGATCCCGAAAGTTCAGTTCACAAAACTCCTGCTTTGAGCTGAACCAAAACCCAGAAAGCTGGCTGCTGGCCTTGAGCCACAAGAAGCAAAACTGGCTGTCTGTTGGCCCGCAATCGCCCGCCTGATCTTGGCAGCTTCGAGCTAGCATGTAGCGGAGCGAAGGCAACTGACTCGACATTCTGGACATATCTCAAATCGGTCATGACACGTGGCATCCAGACTCAAATGAAACCAGCACCACGCTGACCCTGGGCACCTCAATCCGGTCGCGCGAGAGCTCTTTAAAGGTGGCTTGAGGTCCGGCCTGGGCTGCTTTTGCACCAGCTTGGGCTTGGGCTTAGACTTAGACCAGCTTTCTCGTTTGTTTGAACCGCCTCTGCCCTCACCCCGCTCTTCAGGGCCTTCTTTCCAAGTGCGATGGCCTTCATGAACCAGAGGTTCAGGGACTCCTGGCAAGGGGTCCCAACAGCAATCGAAGCTCTGAAGTCGTCAAGTCGCTGAACCTGCCTCCCTGCTAGAGTGAAGGTCTCTTGAGGAGGGATGTGCCCAAGTATCCAGTGATAGTGCTATTCTGCATCGCGGGCTGTCGCGCCTTCTTCAAAGTCAAGCTGAACTTCTCAGTCACCTGCGATCCATGGTGACGTTTCTCCGATTGCATGTCGCACGATGCCCTGTTCTGTTTCACTCCATAACACAGTTTAACTTGGACCGGCGAGTCTGTGCGACGCCTTTCCGATCTCATCGAGAGGGTCGATCCTCACAACTTGAGGTATCCTGACGTCGTACCTTGCAGCGGCATGCGAGCTTTAGGGCTCCAAGCATGCTCCACGTCACCCGAAGCCTTCGAGGAACTTCGAGCCCGCCAACACTCAACGCTACAAAGCAGTCTCTTGAGGCCTAGTACAAAAACAAACTGGACTTGGGCTTTCGGGCATACTATCGGAGATTTATGGAGGGGACAACAAAAAAGGAATACTACTGCCAAATGCTCCGGTCCCGAGCTCTATAATACATGATATACCATGTCAAATCTGTTACAACATGAAATGTATTGTGCGATATTTCACGTACTATCTATATATATATATGTATATATATATATAGATATATACAGATATAAGATCCTCTCCGAGGGCCACTCTCCCGCTGCAGGGGTGTCTTGAACACTCCCGTTCTGTCGCAGCGCGGCACCTCAGACTTCGGTGCACGGATGGGCTGATGGGAAAGGTCGGAGCCTCAGGGGCTGTAGAGTTTAGGGTTTAGGTATTGGGCTTGAGGGGTTCAGACCTTGGGGTTTCGGGGAAGACCTCGGGCTCAGCCTTCTGTTTAGGGTTTAGGGTTTAGGGTTCTACCCAACCCTAATTCACAAACTCCCTAAACGCTCAAGCCCCCTAAAGCTCACACGCATAGTAGCTTTTTGTTTTTTTCTCAGGAACCCTCGTGGCGCTAGCATCTCTCACCGAGCCCCACGCGGTGGCGAGGGAGGCTCGCCCGTTGAATTCTCTGCTCAATCCCTGGCTGACATGCGCTCAGAGTTATCTGAAAACGGTACCAGTATACTAATAACATCTAATCACAATAGTAAGGATGATAATTATACTTATAGCAATAACGATAATTAACCATGATAGGAAGGTGACACAGAATCGAGGTTGTTCGTGAGGTTCCCGTCTGCAGGAGCCTTCCACATCGGGGGAGAGCTCATCTTGTCCTGATGGCAAGTGAAGGACACAGTCCAAATGCTCAAAGCACAAGTGCGATGGACTTGACAACACAGATCGTTATTTACGCTGTTGTGGCAAATCAACTAGTGAAGAGCGTGACAGAGCAGGAACAACGTTCTTCACAATCCGGCATAGTGAGGAGAAGATGCCAAAGAGCAGAGTGACAATATCGATAATACTGTTGCTGCTGCGACTGCTCCTGCCACCACTACGGCCACCACCCCCTCCACGACGACTACCACTAGTAGCACTGCTGATGCTTTGCTGGTACTACTATTGATGCTTCTGCTCCTCCTGGTATTACTGCTGCTAACGCCACTGTTGCCGCTGGTACTGCTGCGGTTACAGCGTCTGGTGCCTGTACCATACTTGCCTTCCTATGCTATGAGTCATCATCGCCATTACCCAGAACATCAGAAAACACCATTCCTCGAGGATGATCGGAGAGACTTGAGGGCTGGACATCATGAGCTTGCAGCTGCGAGCCCGAAGAGCGTGGGCTGTCTCTGCTTTCGGTTGTGTTGAGAATCTTCCGGTGCTCGTGTCAAGGTCGCTGCATTGATTCTCGGAGCCGTGAAATCGAAGACGAAACAAACAGGGATTGAGCCATCCCTGTCATCCAAGCCCCAACACCCAGCTTTTTGCCTCCAAGTCGCAGTGAACAACAGAATGTGTGGTCCCTTGACGTTGTCAAGCCACTTGCGCAACTCGTGCTTGTCCTGCTGTCGAGCCCGCAAGAAGATCAGAAATCATTCTCTCATCGATGCCTAGTTTGGTGCGATCTTGAAACCAAGGGACTCCGGCTGCGCTGCAGAAGAAAACTGTCCCCTCGTCCCTCAGGCACTCGCGCTTCTCCTGGAGGACTGTGGTGTAGTCGGGCATCATGGCGCTGGCCCACCTGGGACAGAGCAACAGAAGGATGCGAAAAACGACAGCTACAGGCAGGCCCTTATCAGAGGATTCAAGCGACTCTGAGCCGGCTCACTTGCCCAGATTCTTGGCAGAGGGTGTACCCTCGCTGAAGATCTCAGGAGGAGTCCCCTGGCAGCTTGGGAACTCACGTCTTGCAGCCCTCAAGTCCCACAAGCTTTGCCCAGTCTCTCCGACTCAAGATAAGCCACGGAATTAGATCTCCTAGGATACAAGTGACAGAGCCAAGGAAAGGGAGCAATGCAAGTGAACATTCGACACCACAGGTAGGGTCTATCTGACGTGGCTTCGGCCCTGATGGAATCGGAGCTTTCGTGGTTTTGGCACTGCGGGACAGATCCGGATTCCGGCGTTGACAGGCCAAGCTGCAAGGACCATCTTTCACTTCTCTCCTCTCTTCCACGCTCTGCCTACTCATTCATCGGTATCTAGGGGAACCCATGGCAAACCACCTAAGCAACATTGCGTGAACTGCGCAAGACTGCCATGCCCAATTGGCTGTCTATTGGGCTAGTAGGTTACTAAACATGGAATTCGAAAATTTTATTTTGTCAACACAATTGTATGCTATGAACTCAGCTCACTAGTGAGTCGATGGTGAAAAGCAGCATGTTCCGGAACTCAACTCCCTTTGAAGTTCGGGTTGCGCACATACAAACACAAACACATGTCTTCCTGTCCACGTGCCTTCCAGCCTCTTTGTTCATGCATCGGGTGGGGTGCGTATTAGCGTATATGCTGGTCCGCGCATGTGCATCTACATATGTATGTAATGCACATGTACATGTATGTGTACGAGAACATAGATCTAAAAAGTGTACATATACATTTCATACAAATACATGTAACACAGATGCAGATACACATATGTACACATACATACGTGCATCCGTACCTACATACATAGATACAGACATATCTATCTATCTATCTGTCTATCTATCTATTATCTACATATATGTACAGAAAAACATGCGCGTACATATTACTTATGCATACATGTACACATACACACATACACACACAGAGAGAGACAGAGACACAAATAAACAGTTAGGCATAGACATATGCATGTGTGCCCTCTTTCGGCATCTCTCTCTCTCTCTCTCTCTCTCTCTCTCTGCCCAAGACTCAGCTTCATGGTAGTGCGCAGGCAAGGATGGTATTGCAGTCGCGAAGATACCCCTCCGGCCACAATCAGCTCCCTATTCCCGCATCAGACTTGCCTTGTCCTCTCCGAACCAGCGGAAGGCGGGGTACCTAGGTTTGGTGGTTTAGGTTGTACGGGTTTAGGATGGGCTTGTGGGTTTCAAACGTAGTCGACCACCCTTAGACGTTGTTGGGGCTGCAGCCTTTTCAGGCACATGTTTACAGAAGTGTTGTAAGCTGGACCAGTGCTGGATGAAGAAATTGGGAGGCACACTGAGCGCGTACTTAACTGAAGCTGGAAAATGCAACGAATCAAGGGGTTCGGAGCTCCGAAGCACGGACGATCCCATCATATCCCGTCGTAGCTACAAGAATGTCTGCCGCTGATAGGTTCCGGGCTCGTTGATGGACGCCTTGCTGCACACGTCCCGTTGTTGCCGGCAATTGACGGCGCCGATGTTCAGAAAGTCCTGGAACAGGCAAGCATTTTGCCGCTTCCCACGCCTCTGGACGAGCTTCTATACGTCTCCCGGCGGTGCCTTGAAGGTGTCTGCGAACTTGATGTACTCGCTCCGCACCTGGCTCAAGCCATAGGAGCTGTAGGATTCCCACGTTGCTTCACAGAGGCAATCCTTTCATGACTGAAACGACCACCGAATCCGAGCTTCGTCAGGGTGTCTATTTCTCTTCACGATGTGCCTCCCGAGACTCGTCGTTATTCGGCTTGTAGAACCTGAATTGAACGTCAAAATTTGCTTGGCATCCCTTCCCATGGCTTCAAGGTCCATTGGGATGAGCTCCTGCACGCAAGACCCAACAAAAAATCAAGTAAGGCTCACGAGCCAGTATGCTGCTGTCTTCTCTCCTAGTTTGTGCCCCTTTTCCCGATGCCTCGAAGTTGCTATAGGTTGTAACAGTACCTCCTGCGCAACCCCTGGCAAGACGAAGCTTATCTGCTGAGCCCATACAAGATCCTACTAAACCCTACCTGGACCCCAAAAGTATGTAGAATAATAGCCTTTTAGAGGTTTTGGGCCATTATTTTACCTACTTTTGGGGGTCTAGGTAAACCCTACAACCAAAACCCTAAACCCTGAACCCTAAGCCCTAAAACGCCTATAACACCCAAGTCTCCTTAAAGACGTCACCGGGTAGCTGAACAAACCAGGGCTCGATGCGGTCATTGATTTGCGAGCCATACCTGCAAGCTGTAAAGCGAGGGGTTTAGGGGTTTAGGGGTTTAGGGTTTAGGGGCTTAGGGTTTAGGGTGACTGTACTTCTTCTCAAAAAGGACCGGCAGAGTCGAAAGGTTTTTTTTGTTGGCTTTGGGCTCACCACTGCACTTTCCTATAGGTTTGCTCTTCCCCGACTAGAGCGAGGGTACAAGTCGGATGTGAGCTCGGTGACGTTGGTGTTGCCGTAAATGTCCTCCTGACGAAGGCTAAGCGGAGCTGGTGCTTTGTGAGACTCGTGCAGCCCTCTTAGCATCAAACACATGGATGGGAGATTCTGCAAGCACAATCTCCAGCCCCAAGCCCTTTTCTTCACCGGCGGGCCCTCCGTGACTAATCTCATCTCGCTGCAGGATAACTTCGACATGCGAGTCCTTGGGTCCAGGCTCACCTTCTTCCATAAACCTGAGAGACACAGGGAGCAGAGAAGACTCAGAGATTTGAAAGTTGGATAACTTCTTGCCTTCACAGGAAGCTGCAAGGAACATAGGAAGGGCTGAAGGACGTCGGGTGCCGCGGCGGGGAGGACATACCGTACCGTAAACACAAGAGTCGAAGTCTCGTTTGACCTCGAACAACGGTGTAGACAAGGGTGGTGGTAGAGCTGTCTTAGAAAAGGCTCCAAAGTGGGTCACAACCCACCTCTCAGGACGTCGACCTTAGACGGCCCCTTCATTATTTACTCAGACTTTACGGGTACCATAAGACCTGCCATAAGGATACCACGCGGTTACCACAGGTAAGGGTTACTCTAAGGGCCGTGCTCTAAAAGTACTACACGAGAGAGTCTTGCTGAGGGCAGCACATCATCTGGCCTCCTCGGCGGACGATCCTGACCTTCGAAGGGACATGATACTGTAGCCTTGTAGCACCCGGATAAGGGTAAAGCACCCTTTTGCGGGCCCTTATTTCCGGAGCTTAGTCTGAGCCTTATCTGCGATGGAGCAAGTTGTCTTCGGCTCAATGGGATCGAAACTGCCAGAAATAACGTAGGGGCCTTAATAAGTAGAATAGGGTTTTGGGGGTTCCTTATTATAATTATAGTATAATATACCCCCAAACCCTATTCTAATTATTAAGGCCCTTATATTGTGTCCAAACTTATCCAGTCGATTGCCGCTGCACTCAAACACTGGGATCCATCCAGACCTCGGCGGTAAACAGAGCCGAATCTTTTGCAGCGGTGGTTTGCCGAACCACTGCAAAACCACCGAAACCCTAAGACTAAGACCCAAAACCCTGGGTCCCAAACCCAAAGCCCTAAGACTAAAACCCTAAGCCTCATAGTCCCAAACCCAAAACCCTAAAACCCCAAGACCCTAAGCCCCAACCCTGACCCCACAAGCTGAGCACAGCGCGTTCCCGTCGGGCTCGCGACCGAAGAACTGGCGAAACATGGCTTTCGCCTGAAACGACGATAGGTACATGGGTAGTTCTCTAAATTAGGGTCCCTTCTTGGGGGTTTAGGGTTTAGGGGCGTTCTTGCGGGGATCTATGAGGGTGCTATACGGGTAGTTCTCTAAATAAGGGTGCCGTACTGTATTGGGGACCTAGAAAGGTCAGGTGCCCGAATTTAGAGAACTACCCACATATTAAATCACCTAAACCCTGAACCCCAAACCCTAAACCGTGGAGCAGTGTAGGGTTTGGGGCTTAGGCTTGACGGTTTGGGGCAGGGCTAGCGGGCTAGCATCTTCTGTTATCTTTTATTTCAGCTTGGGGTTATCCCTTTTTTCGGAGGTGGGCGTGTTGCTTCTCGCCAGAGGTGTGGCCGTTTAGGATCTAAGGTTATGCATAGGCTTTAGGACTTAGGCGTGCCCATTGTCAGTGGGGTTATCAAATCAACAAGCGGTATAGCTGTCGCTACCCTCCCTCCCCCAACGCAGGCATCCCGAAGTTGGTGAGATGTTCGGTAGCCTCTCGGAGACTGTGCCAGCGGGGAATCGCTACATTCCATCACCCATCTCTGAGCCGAGCCCTCGACAAATTCGATGAAGCGAAGGAGTTGGAGAGCAAACGTCCTCTTCGAAAACCCTAAACCTTAAACCCTGAACCCTGTACCCTATAAAACCCCTAAAGCCCTAAACCCTACAGCCAGAAGGGGAGCTGCTTTGCGAAAGTTCCAGCCTGTTCGTCGGACTGGTGCCCCTCCTTTAGGCCCTCTTCGCCGTGCTGGTCGTAGACCTGGAGAGCACATGGACATGGAGGGTGTGCAAGGTGAAACTGTCGACGCTTCTCTACAGGACCTGAAAGAAGGTTCAAGAAAATAGCATCGGTGTAATGTAAGGTTGTCTTGGGACGAAGCTGCACAGATCTGAACCGTCGTGTGTCTGCGGAGGGTTGAGAAGGGTGTCGAATAACTCTTGCTTCCCTCCAGGGCCCATAGAACCCCTCCCCAGCAGAGCCTTCCGCTTCTCGGCATCACTGAGGACCTGTGGTTTCCGGGCGGTGGAGACCCCCGGGCAAGGGCCTTTGTCCAAAGGGGGCGCGGGGTAGAGAGAGAGAGAGAGAGAGAGAGAGAGAGAGAGCAGGCCACAGCGGCCTGCTGCTTGCTATCAGGTTCGGCTGGCAGCCGAGAAATGACTCCCTCTCTCGACATCTGAGACTCTTGGAATCAACCCTTGCCCCAGAACTGTCTTGTTTTTCGGGAATTGCCATGCAAAAAAAAGCCCGTGGCCCGTGGCCTCGTAGGCTGAAGACACTTCGATGAACTTTGTCTGGCACTGCTCCTGCCAGGCGCTCGCAGCGACCGAAGCTCTGGCAGTTCAGCCCTGCACTAGTTGGAGGCCTCAAAAGGTGGGATGAAGGTAGGTAGGGTTAAGGATCCCTTATATAAGGACTCTTATTATTTTGGGGATTACCCCACCTACCTTCACCGCCCCACCCTTGGAGCCCTTATTTGAACTAGGGCCACTAGGGGTTAGGGCCTGCTCCGCGGCAAATGCTCCAGAAAGCTGGTCCTTGTCATCGGCGCACTTGTCCGGATGGTACTCCAAGGATTTGCCTCGATAGGCCTTCTTGATAGCTGCCTGTCCACAGAGTGCGGAAAAGCCAGCAACCAAAGCCTAAGCCCACCCCGCCCACCCCAGAAGCTTCCCTATCAAAGGTCAGCTTGACGGCCGAGAGCTGAAGAAGACTGGAAACTTAGGGATAGCAGCATGGCTATGCCAGGGGCAACGCTGCCCTACTCCGCCATGAGGGTGGGTTTAGGAGATGGAAACCCCGGTAACTTCCCATCTTTGGCAGGGGAGTTAGAGGCTCCACATCGAGAAAGGCACGAAGAGCCACTCCTCAGACGAAGACGCCCCAAATTGTGCACAGAAGACTTCGTCTTTCCAATCTCCGAAGTGCAACAGCGGCAAAAAGCAAAACAGCCTGGTCGGCATTCCTGGGGATGCCCAAGATGGCGTAGTAGTCTGCACCCCTGAGGACGGGAAGCAGAAAGCCCCGCGAGCCGCGAACCGGTGAGGACAGTTGCAGCCCCCAAAATCTCCGCCCATGCTCCCAGACATGCAACTGCAACAACCGGGGATAAGGCCAATAGAAGCCGTGAGCTAAGCAAAAGAGAAGTGAGAGCCAACACGCAAAGTTTTCACCCTGCGACACGGGATTTTACCACCGGACATCAAACAGATTAAAGAGCCTTGGCTGTTCCGATTTCCGACAGCATACTTTGGATGTCGGGACGGGACAGGACCCACCCCGGCCACGCCCTTCAGATGCACTGGGCCTCCGAAACCGAAACCCCCCGACGGCACGCCACAGGCATCCACACCCCATGTTCTGGCAGCTTCAAACTCAGCTCCCTGCTTGGCTGCGATCAAAGGCAAGGATGTGAGAACCTGCCATTCCGAAACGGCTAAGGCTCAAGAGCACTTGTGAGGAGAAGCTCACTTTCATGCCAAAACGGCTCTCTTTGTTGCCCGAAAGGCTCCCTCGACGCAATAATGCTCGGACAGTGTTTTGCTTCGTGGGCCAAGTGCGCTGTCGACCGCAACTTTGGCCGTGCGCCACAATCTCGAATCTTCCACTCGTCCGGCCAACGGTCGTCTTTAAGCCTCGCCCTCCAAGCCTTGTGAACTCAGAACTCGAACCTGTGTCCGAACTGAAGACTCTAGAAACTCGAAATGAACCCAAAACGCACCGCCCCCAACATCCCAAGTGTCGACATACCGGAGATTGCGTGTTGGCGCAATTGAACCCTCTAGCTCCCAACAAGATCAAACCAAGGACATTCCATCACCATCACCCTCAAGAACTAATGACAACTGGATGTCAGCATCCCAGTGTGATGACTTTAATCTCTTAGTCTGTATGAGGACAAGCCTAGAAGCTTACTTAGGGGCTGAGTACCCGAGGCCCAAAAAAGGTTAACCTTTCAATTATGGCAGGATTATATAAGCCCAAAAAGGTTAAAGGTTACCTACTCAGCTACTAAGAAGCTGTAGCCGGGGGCACCTGGAGAAAGTTGAGCCACAAGGCCACTCCTGGCAGATACCTTCCGGACCCCGTTCGTCTTTGCTCTTTCTCTCTCTTGGCTTCGGCGGTTTGAAGGCTTTCTTTGGGTTTAGGTGTCCTAATCCAAGCACCTAAATTTGGGAGCCCGGTTTTGGCAAAAGAGCCTCAACTAACGAGCTTCAACATGAGTCCCCGGGGGGCTCAAGGATTCATAGAGCTCATGGTGATGCATGTCGCGTCAACGGGGCGCAAAACTTTCTGTGCCATGGTGGTGTTTCTCTGCATTCCGCGTGTGTATGAGATCTCATGTAAGGTCATGGTGGGCTCCATGGGCATGCATCTTGTCGACCAAGCCTGCGGCTCCCCTCGCCAACTAATTATCCCCAGTTGCTTTCCGCTGGAGTCTCTCTCTCTCTCTCTCTCTCTCTCTTTCTGTGTCTCTCTCTACATAATGCTTCACAATGCATAAGACACAAAGACTTAAAGACTCTCCCAGACTCGTGCACAAACAAACATATCTAACAAAACACACAGATACAATCTCTCCCTCTCTGCACCTGCAGGCTGGCGACTTTTGAGTGCGCTGCGATGCCGAGGCCATGCATGGGCTCATTAAAACCTGGGGCCCTCCGAGTCGGTCTTTTCCTGCCCCCCCTTTCCTTGGGATTCCATTAGAGACTGGTGGAACTCCGACCTGCTGGCTTCCGGACTCACTGAAAGATTTCCGAAATCGTGGGGCTCTAGAGTTGCGAGGTCTGTTGTGGGGGTCCAAAACGCTGGGTAATCTGGCACCGGCATAGGCTGCTCTTCAGAGCTACTTCTCCTGTTGCTGAGAGCCAAAACTGGTCGGCGCGATTCGTCACACAATTCAAGCTGTGGAAGATCTTCTGAGCGCTGGCTTTGTGAAACACGAGAACACTCCTTGCAGAACTGACTCCAATTCTGAAGCCCAAGGCGAAGGCTTCATGGGCTTGACTTCTTTTTTGCATGGAATTTTGCGCAGGTGGTAGCGCTCGTCGATTGCGAGGCGTCTTTGCATCGAACCCGCAACCATCGCATCATGATGCCTCCCTAAACCATAGAAAGCTTTTATGTTGCAGTTCTAATTAGGTTGTTAGCGCTCAACCCGCCGGAAACGGCCCCCTCGTGGAAACCAGTGTCTAGCCACGGCTTCGCATCGGGATGTCTCCGTGAGATCGTGGCTTGCTGCCACTCATTCGACGTGCACAGGTGGGGATGCCTGGCAGCAAGGCCCCAGGTGGCCAAACAAATGAGAAGATATAAATTCCGGTAGACGCTTTGCAAGCTGAGTAAACATGATAAGTTGCGAAGCACGTCTTCCACCTGAACCCCAGCCAGACCCTCTGATACGATCTGAGACCCTTCGAAGAACTGATGCTAGAGCAACTCCCAGCCGACACGCATCCGACTTCTAGTTAAAGGAAACTACAGGTGGGGAGTTTAGGGTATATAGGGCTTCTTAAAGGCTTCTATAAGGTATATGTTTAGTTTACTTATTTTGGCCTATTTCCAAGTCTACCAAGACTCCTTTCCTGACTCTGTGTTTCTTTCAATTGAAAACGTCTAGGCTGTGGGGTCCGGTGCAGGGTTTTGGTCTTCTAGGCTTTTGGGTCCAGTGGTCAGGGTTTTGGGGTCAGACTTCTAGTGCGGCATCACCTTTGGACTAAGAGCACAGGTCTCGGGTCTTCAGGGGAGCAATCGCCTGCCTGACAGAAGGACTGCTCGTATGGCCACGGTGCCAAGTGCACGGCCATCCCGCAAGCACCCACTTGTCGCTAGTGGCCTTGGGGCAATGCGAAAGTTCGGGGAACTTTTCATCGAAACGGCTCAGGGTTGTCATCCACGCGAAGCAGTTCAGCAGTTCTGTAGAACCTACATCCCCACTGGAGATACTGAGCCTCGGGCTGTGGTTGCAGCATTGCTTTTGGCACCCACCCTCCAGCGGTTGCGGCTGCGCCACCATCTGAGCCAGCTGAGAAGCAAAGCTCCGGGCATCCTCAAGAAACCGAAGCTTAGGGGAAAAATACCCTGAACTCGCTGTAGTAGCCCTGCAGTAACCTTCTATAGTAACCACTTCAATACCCTTTCGCACGCCATGAGAGAAGTTGCCCAAAGACTTGCGATTACTGGCTCAGCGAGCCTGCCATCGCGTACGGTGCCACCAGAAGTCCAAGCAGTTCGCCACACCACTGCCCTCCAAAGCGCAGGTTTCTGGGTTTGCCCCAAAAAGGGCCCTAAATACTCTGAGTTCCGGTAGTTTCGGTGCTTTGTTGGGGGATCGGGAGAGTCCAACAGAAAGCGCCTCCCAGCGAAACACAGGGCAGGCCAGAAAGCATCATGTACAGTTTGGAAGAATGCATGATCACTTCTCCGATCTCTGATCCGAGACCCAAAATCACACATGTCTCAAACGCAAAGACACAACGCTCAACCGGCCTTGTTGAAGGGATTGCGAAAGATCCTGGAAGAGTGGCCTGGAGTATGATGAGCATGGGCACAACGGCGTTGATGAACAAGAAGAAGAGGTAGTTGATGATGACGATGATGACGATGATGGTGATAGTGTTGGCGTCAGTGGCGGCGTTAGTGGTGGTGCTGATGGCTGGTGCAGTGGTGTCGGTGTAAGCAGCGCTGGCGGATCCGGGCAGGCAGAATTGCTACAATATCAGACTTCGCGGTTGCTGTTAGTGGTTCTGGTACTCCAGCTTCCGCTCTTCCTCGGGTTTTAGACTCTGCACACACACAGTTGTGCCGGCTTTTCGCTGCTACGTACCCGTCGCCACTGTGCGGAGGGAACAAAGAAAGGGCTGTGGGTTTGAGAGTCACAGCCATGCTTCCGTTCACTGATGGATGTACACATCTCTAACAGATGTATACGCACGTATGTCTCTATGCTATCTCCTTATCTATGCTATGCTATCTACCTATCTATCCATTCGTTTATCTATCCATCTACGGGTCGATCGGTGGAAAGATGGACATGGCAGCCCCGAGGTCCGCGCCAGGACCAATCTGTCGAATTGTCCAAAAATGCTCGTACCTCGAGTTTTGTAGGGTTTAGGGTTCCCCAGCAAACCTGGTGTCCCGTTTTCCTTACTGTTTGATTTTCAAACAATAAGGGAACTCAAAAAGAAAAAGGGTAAAAAGGTAAAACTAGGAACCTAGCGGTGGAGAGAGGAGGGCCTTCTTCCCTTCCCTGTCAGCCTGGATGCCTTCCCTTCGGGCAGATCAAGATTTCTTCATGTTCGCTCATGCCTTGCCCCTTGTGAAGCTGACTGCTTCTTAGTTGCTGAGTTCAGAACCCGCCGAAAAAGTGTACACGTTCAGCTCTATAGAGGATCACAGGATCCCCCCAAAAGTGTAAACCCTAAATCCTAAACCCTAAAACCCCAAACCCAAAACCCTGCACCGCCAAACCCTAAACCCTAAACCCTAAACCCATGTTAACGTGTAGCCACTCAGCTACGGAGGGTTGGCATCTGCTGGGGGATTCCAAGTCACCAGCTCCCTCCGGTTTCGCCCTCCACTGCTCTTGCGATTTAGGGATCAGTTTTGGGTTTACGGGCTTAGGGGTTTAGGGTTTAAGGGTTTAGGGGTTTAGGGGTTTAGGGGTTTAGGGTTTTAGGGGTTTAGGGGTTTAAGGTTTTAGGGTGTTAGGGTGTTGGGGGGCTTTCGCATTTTTCCCGACAGGCCTGTGCATGTTCATCATCTCATTCGTGGTGAGATTCATCAAGACCTCGGTCATGCTAAAGGATCCCCAGGCCGCCCCTCTACGAAAGGGCATGGTGGTGACTCGGAACCCCCCCGGAGAACCCAACCTTAATTAAGGAATACACCTTAAATTATAGGGGCCTTAATATTATGATTTAAGGTATAATTCCTTGATTTAAGGGGTATAACCCTAAACCCTAAACCCTAAATAAGCCCTCCTTAATTCAGGGGTATTGGGTTCTCTGGGCCTGGATGAAAGCTCCAGAGTGCGAAAGTCCAGAGCGCAAGGGACTCCCGAAGGTTCGAGACCCCCGAGACCAGCGCCAGCCGAGATTGATGAAGCGTTAACATGAGAACCTCAGTCAGGGTTTAGGGGTTTAGGGTTTAGGGGTTTAGGGCTTTAGGGCTTTAGGGGTTTAGGGTTTAGGGGTTTAGGGCTTTAGGGCTTTAGGGTTAACATGAGAACCTCAGTCGGGCACTGTTCTCTTAGGTCTCCATATGGGCGGTTCTCTTAACTAGGGTCCCTTTTAGGGGTCCTGTTTATAAGGGTGCCATACTATATTTGGGGACCAACATGTCAGAGTCGTGTCGTGACCAGGGCCCATAAGGAGCATTTCTCTGGCTTTGAAGCTACGGAGAGGCTCTCCGCCCTCAGTCTTAGAGTGCCTGGAACTACGGTTGATGATATAAATCCTGCATTACCCATAATAAGGAATATACCATAATTCCCATAGTTTAGGATCCTTAAGGTAATGCAGGATTTATATCTTCAACAGTAGGTTCCCAACACGCGATGAAATCCCGAAGGCAACCCTTCAACAACCCTCCTCGCGCTATGGCCCTCTAGAAGCCTTTAGCTTACAGTGCAGCTTAAAGCCCTATTTGCGGGCCCTGATAAATAGAACAAGGTTTTGGGGGATGTTATGTTAACGTCTCTATAGAGAGACTGTAAGGGAACACTAATTAGGGTATACAATGATCACTGAATATTTCTCCCAACCTCTTATCACTTCCTTCAACCTCTTTCCAAGCCTTGCGGAAAGAGAGTCCCCAGATCTTCCAGAATCCCCTAATTCAGGAACATACCAAAATTATAGTAGGAGCCCTAGTATGCTTTAAGTTTAAGGTAAGATTCCTTCATTCCCTTATAGATTCCTTTAAAGAAGCCGCTAGAGGTAACGATGTTGTAAGGTCTATTTTCGGAGTCTCGAGGTTTGAGCCAGGCTCCCGGCCCATGGCGCCGTGACGCAGTGAATGACAACCTTTCAGGGAGCCCCCGACAGAACTCCCTCCAGAACCCCAACCCCAACCCCCCCCCCCCTCTTCCCACCGCTTTTCCCGAATTTTTTGGTTCTTTGGCAGAAGATGCTTTGGGGCTTTTAGAGTTGTGGGGACGAGACGTTGGAGTCTGCCGTGCTGCTGTCTTTCGTTGGCGTCGTCGATGTCGGAAACGTGCCCAGGCGTGCCCCGAGCTCCCGGCAATCATGGTCAGCAGAGGATAGCTGGTAATTGCTCCCCACCTTAAGGATTTGGCCATGGGGTTTTGTTTAGGGTTAGGGTTGGGGGTTTAGGGTCTAAGGTTTATGGTCCCTTTTTTAGTGGGTATTATTTTAGGGTATATTAGAGGGGAGCTGTTGGGGGGGGGGGTCTAGGGTTCAGGGTTCAAGGCTTCAAGGCTTTAGGGCCTTTATGGTTTTAGGTTTGGAGATGTCAGGGCAGCTCTTTGGCAACCCAGGAAGCGGCGTACCCTCTGCTCGAAACAAAAAAGAAGCGGAGATCCCTGGAGAACCCAAATCCCCCTAAATTAAGGAATATACCGTAAATCATGATATTAAGGGCCCTATGATTTAAGGGTATACTCCTTAATCAAGGGGGTATTGGGGTTCTCTGGGTCTTCGTAACATGAGAGGAGGCGAGGCCTGCTGAAAGGGTTCCTAACATCGGGGCCTTCATAGCTGGAACTTAGGGTGTTGAGGGTAGATGATGCTAGGAGAGTAGTAAGGAACCACCAAAATAGTTTTGGTAATTATTTGGGCATCTTTCTTGGATGTCGTAGGTCCGACCCCAGAGGGCTTCTCGACGTTACCACAGAAGCAGAAAGGCTAGTAGGGGCATTTCAAGCCTGGACTGTCGCCAAGCAGCATCCACTGCGTGAAGCTCTGGTAGGGAATGAGGCTCATCACCGTGACCCTGGCTGAGTTGCGTTTGTAGAAGGAACGATGCTCATTCGTCGAGTTTAGGTGGATGGTGACGCAGTTTGCAGACGACACCTGAACCCCGGCATGCGCAGAGCTTAAAGTAGTTTGAAGCCAAGTGGTTGCAACCAGCGGAACGCACATAAGGCGTGGCCACCCAGGATCAAGTTAGGGCGCCATAGCACGAAGGATGAATCTCCTGTCCTCCCGCCAAGCCGCAGATTCTTAGCAGTTGCTTCAGCCGCAGGTACCTTATAGAATAATCTTAATAATGAACCCTGAGGAATAATATCGGTAATTATTTAGGCTTTGCCATGCTACGGGCGCCAGCTGAGGTCTCCGCATGCAGAGCCGGACGTGTGTCACCTGCATACCACATAATCATGCACGTGCATCTGCCGACTGAAAATACTGCATCCCATGCCAAAGCACATCTGCCCTACTCGGAGAAGGGGAGGCATCACTGTATGAGATAGACCCAAGCTGGATGGTCCTCACCTGCGTGAAGAACTCCACGATGGCCAGACCTCAGAACCAAGCAACGCACACAGGTGCTCCGGTGGAAAGAACAGAGCCCCGCTGATGAATCCCCACCTCCACAAGCCTCCAACCCCTGTACCCGGATCTTTCGGACGTCTCTGGTGTGCCAAAGCTTCTCGAGACAACAAACTCTGCCCTCAGCATGACATGAAAACGGTCGACTCCGAAAGTACAAGAGGGCCATGTCACTCCCTTGTGGATTTTCCAGATCTTGGGAAGTTTGAAGTGAGATCGACTCTGTTGTAGTCGCTGAGTCTGCAGCCCACAAACTGACGGTGGTTCGCTTTACCTGCAGTCAGCCAGAAACTATGGAGGAATGCTGATTTCAGGCGGACAGCGGCAGTCGCAGGCCTCCACCCCACCTAGCCAAGAAATCAGCCCATCTACTAACATCGTCTTCGTCCTCGTCATGGTCGCTTGAACCATCCAGCAACGGTGGTGAACTAGTCCAACCACGCACAAACCGAATCGCCCCAAGTCCCGAGTTTCGACAAGGGGCCTATGGTATTGTTCAGCCAGACGCAGTAGTGGTCAAACTCCTGCAGGAAGAGCTCAAAGCAAGGAAATGTCTGCTGTTCATGTGCGATTGCTGCTAGAAGTCGGCAAATGTTCACACGACGCCTCATGCGTCTCGCCATGGGCATGCTCACCAAAACAGCATCAGAAGCTTCGATGACATGCTGCACCAGACAGCCAAGGCGATTCAGTTGCTGTTCCATAAATGTTACATTATACTACATTATAACAAATGATGTTGTTACATTATACAACGACAACCACTACTACTACTACTACGACGACGACGACTACTACTACTACTACTACTACAATATATAATGTATGATGTCGAATATCAAACTTTGTTACATACTACTACTACTACGACTACTACTACTACTACTACTACTACTCCTGCTGCTGCTGCTGCTGCTGCTGCTGCTATACATGTATAACAAGATGCTAGAAGGTGTCGAGCAGTGAATATCGGTTCCTTACATGATACTCCTACCATATAATATATATATATATGATATATATGTAAAATATGATGCTAGGATATGAAATGTTAGCCCATTATACTATAACATATGGTGCTAGACTATCGCATTTTACTACATTATAATCATACTACTACATCCCAATGATCCGCCTCCACACAGGCCCCGGTTTGCACGCAGTACTTCGTGCGAAGCCTCGGATCCAAAGGCTCCGTCTCTGACCCGCTGGCTCATTTCTGTGGAAGTACCCAGAGAACCCAATGCACCTCAATTAAGGAATATACCTTCAGTTATAGGGGCCTCAAGCCTTAGAAATAGGCTTTAAGGTAAATTCCTCAATTAAGGGGTATTGGGTTCTCTGGGTAAGGGTTTGGGGTTTAGGGCTCTGACTCTGAGTTCTTCCTGAAGTAAGCGTCGCACCCTTTCATCACCCAAGTCGTCGTGCAAAGTCGATTGATGTCGGGCGGCTCAATGTCCTCGGAAACAACATGCTGGTGATATTGGGAATGCTCCTAAATCCCCTGCAAACCTTGGTTGCCGGAGCCTCCTCTCAACCTTTCGTCCTGCTTTGGCCGTGCACATGTGGGTTCCTCAGGGGCTGAGTACCCTAGCCCAAAAAAAGTTAACCGTTCAAGTATGGTAGGATTACATAAGCCCAAAAATGTTCAAGGTTACGTACTCAGCTACTAAGGTTCCTGCTGTGAGCCCTTGAGATCCGTAACCGGCCCACATGGCCCATCATCGAACTCCGGCTGCCAAGTGACGCCCGCCGGGCTGTCGATGACCTTCATCAGCTCCTTCAAAGCACTGCGGATTTCAGGTGCTCCAGAGATTTGGTCGAAGTCAGGCTTTGGAACTGCTGCGGGGGTTCCACCACAGATTTTGGCTACAGCGCAGTTTGCCGAGAGAAATGTCTCGCAACACTCTGCTTAATTGCGGCGCTTTGAGGGTTGAGAACCGCAACCCTAAATACTATTTTGGGGGTTCCTGATTACAAAAGCCTATTCTAATTAGTAAGGGCCCTACATTATTCAAACCACAGGCAAAACGATGAAAGCTGGCATTCCGAAGCTCTGGAGCAGGGCGCCTCCACTGCCGAATTCCCCTGGGGCCGCGCTGGAACCTGCGAGACTTGACAGTCAAAGGCGGAGCAAAGGGACCCTGTGCAGACTGTAATACTAGATATAGTTATAATAAGGAGCCCCCCAAGTAGTATAGGTATCAAGCATTAAGGCCCCTATATGTGGAGTATTGTGGCACCACCTCTAAGTAGTAGGGAGGGATGACAACGATGATGAACGAGCTGTGGCAATTTCCCACGCCCTATGCCTGGGCTGGCTGATTAACGATGAAGAAATGGAGTAGTGACTTGCAGCTAGGATAGCTACGGGTCTTTTACACTCCCGAAAGGTACAAATACTCAAACGGCTTACACGGCCCGCCGAATCGCACAACCTTAAGGTCGAACCATGCGGGGCCGAAGCATCTTGCCGAGTTCTCCAAAATTGCGTGCTTGAAGTTCTTCTTGATTTCAGGCCGATGGTAGAGCTCAGAGGGTTGAGAGGGTGAAACATATAAATTCTAGGGAATGAGTTTTTGAACCTGAAATTCGTGATTTTTAGCTTGATTTCCATCCTAAAACCCCACCTGGACCCTTAAGAACCTCCCTTCTTCGGGCTCCTTCCTATGATTTCCTTCTATTCTACGTCCTCAAAAAAAGGGTAGCTTCCTTTTAGGGCTCTAGGCAACTCCTAAACCCGGGGCACATGGACCCTTATAAGTACCCTAAACCCTAAACCCTTATGGTACTTATAGAACCCTTAAAGGAAACCCTAAAAGGCACCCCTTTGTTCTATTTGGGGGCTCTGGCTCTCCCCCAACCGCCCTGAGCGCACCGTCCCAGGGTCCCCGAGGGCCACGAAGGTGAAGAAGCCCAGGGACCTGACTCACGGGCTCGATGCCAAGGGCAAATTGAAGCCAGCTCTTGCTGTGCCTCTGAGAGGGAGAGAGAGAACGAGAATGGGAGAGAGACTATGCAGGCAGGATCCTCATACTCCGCACCAAGACTCCCAAAGCAAAGCAGAATCAAGCCAGAAGCACCATGCCGGTATACAGCTTCGAACCGAAAGTCCGACATTCACAGAGATGCCCCAAAGCTCTACCCGACACCACCTCTCTTTTCGACCCAGCCGCAAAGGCACTAATAGCTCGAAGAGGAAGGCTGTCATGGGAGCCACCTCCGCCCAGAAAAGCTGTTCGCAAGTTCACAGAGTGTGATCCAAGCCAATGCATTCTGTAGTGACAAAGCAGCCATCTCGAAAATGGAGCAGTCAAGCTAGTTAGCTCTTGGAAACCTCGGCCTCGTATCCGACTACCCGGATGTCCATGATGTACTGGAACACGGCCAGAGACACACAGACCTGGCGTGGAAAGTCTCTGCCGCAGCTGGGGCTTATAGTGTCGAGAATGCTCTTTGCCTGTTCTGCTTTTTACCTACGAAAGCTTGGAGATCGGCCTGCTGTTGTGTAAAGCTCTCATCGACCGCCCCCGTAGCTGCATCTCCGCTGCACTGCCGCAACATGCGTGAATCACCTAGTCGACTTTGGGAGCCTTCTAGCATTTACCAGAGACTCCATCATCCCTTAATTA